TTTCTTCAGAAGCTATTCGACGACAATCATGATAGAGAAGGCGATCAATTTGTTTGCAACAAAGTCGTTTGGATGTAGGTTTTATTTCAAACAAAATAAAGAAATTCATTTATAAGTTCGTATAATTATTGACAAATAAACAGAGAATAATTTTCGATCGAGATAGATAAATTCTTTCATGAAGAAATATAATGTTCAGTCTTATGACAATAAAAGACAAGCAAGCTATTGATTAGTAATACCGGACCTTATTTGAATTGACTCTGTCAAGATGGTGATGCGATTTTGTGACCATCTTCTTATAAAAAGATTTTTCAATTGAGGTGTTATAAATATCATTTCTATACTTAATACTGCTAGGGAAACTTCAGCTCCTAACCACAAAATCCGATAGGTTAATAAATATTCCATACCAGTAATGAATCACATTAGTATCAAGGCTGTACCTGACATTACAACAATCATTAATAAGGCAACATTAATAAAAATTCGTTGAATAGCGATTAAATCTTGATTCTGTCGTCGCTTCACCACTACTGTCTGATTATTAAGTTGTTGACGAATAAATATTGTAATACGAAGATATATCAGAGATAAAAATAAGAGAGGTAATCCATAAGCTGTAAATACCACCCAAACAAGAGCATGAGGTTCTGTGAATGTAACAGAACAATAATATTCGTTAGGTAAATAGATAACATCATGTCAGATCAGAAGAGGACATAGAATAGCAAAGGCTCCTATCAACTGAATAGGTACCAGAATTATATAAAACTAGAAAAACTGATCAAACTTGGCATGTCATCTATATATCGATTATAAACAGCTAACTTCAAGACTTCAGGTATAGACTTCAAAATTTGACGAGACTTCAACTGACTTTCAGAACTTCAAGCGACTTCATAAGACTTAACAAAACTTCACTGTATATTGAAACATATGACTTCAAGATAGAAATATCCTTCGTGGGTAGCCGCTGTGGCGTGGCAGATTTTTTTTTGGAGGACATCAGAAAACTGCATGAATTTGCACAAGGTTTTAGTGTACACAAATGTATACTTTGAGACTGAATGAATTTCATGAATGGGTAACAACAATTCTAGTTCAATAAGATGATACCCGCGAAATAAGAACATTTTTTTGAATACTATTACAGCAGTGGTAGCTAAATGGTAAATTTCCAATAAGTATATGGGTTGATGTAGTTAAGTTGCCAATAAAATAATTTGCTATCTACTATAGGTTCATATAATAGCTAAACATATTTATATTAAAACTTTTATTTTTTACAACAATAGACAAATATAATTTGTTTATTATTGACAGCGAACATATAATGAATATAAATCGTTTTACACAACTACGATATGCATTTGTAAACAGTGTCTTTGGAAAATTCAGATCGAAACTACAGCAACAATAACAATGAAAAAAAGCTCGATATAGAATCATACATATAAAGTTCGAGACTAGCTGCCTAATTTGAGTTCCAATAGAACTGAAACTTTTCAAAAATTCTAACCTCAAATAGTAATAGTCACAGAACCATTTTCTCCCAATTATAAATTTATAATTGAAAGTGAGACATCCACATAAGTTTGACGAGAAAGTGAAAGATAAATTTTATCCTGATTATAAATTAATATTTCGAATTGAGGGATTCATATAAGTATGCTTAAAAAAAGCAAAAAATGAATTTTATCCTAATTAGGAATTCATGAATTGAACTTAAATAGTCATATATGTCTGACAAGAAAACGCAAAGTGAACTCTCTCCTGATTATAAATTGATAATTGAAATTTATGGATACGTATATATAAGACACCTAATGCAGCCTCGAATATGATTGGAACTTGGAACACACTAGTTTTATAGAACCCTCGAAAGGAAAGAAGAAAGTTTTCATGAGTGATAATTTATGATTCATAGAAGTGGGTCAGCCCTTTAATTTGACGAAATGAAAAGACTTTTTTCTGCATAGGACATAAATTCGAATGTGTGTATTATTTGTGTGGAGTTTGAGTGTGAGCGTAGTTGTTTATTATTGAAATGAAAAAACCAATGACCGTACCCACACCCACATCCTTCGTAAAACCTTCAAAATTTTAGAAAGGAAAATACTTTTAGATTAGGTCACTGACTATTCTCGAGAACGTTATTTGAAATTGAATATCGAAAGTCAACAAAAACTAATTTTGAAATTATAGTAAAAATCCTTTGATTTCACATTACACTGAAAAAAGTGAGAGATCAATTGATGAACTTGGGATACTACTGAGTTTTCTTCTCATATTTGGATAGACATCCATTGTTGCGTTTGAAACTAAAGTTGTTTCTATACAGTTGTTTAGTCATCGGATGTGTAAACAGGAATAATACTTCAAAAGAATTGTGCAAAATCAACTTCGCGGCTCAATATTCCTATGTAAATATAGAAATGTATCTCTGATGAAATCTGTTATTGATTTACATAGAAGAATCCGTAAACAGGGTGCAATCATCTATCAGATAACAATTTAAACTATGGGTTGATTCAGTGTTATTATGATAAACAAAACTTCTATTCATTTTTTCAACGTAAGAAGTCACAATCGATAAAATGTTATACCTCAACACAGTTTGGATAGTTGAAAGTTACACGAATGATTTGTTTGTTCATAAAAGTATTACCTGACAGTTGCGCCGACATTGCTGATAAGTTTCATATAGAGAGTGGTCGGCGTGTAACATAAGATTTTAAGCTGTTAAAATTAGTCGGAAACCACCATCGTTTATGTTCCAAGAAAGATCAAAGAAAGTATCAACAAACAATGATTTCTATCCGTAGAAAATTACTAAACAATGGCATAGTTGCTCGACGAATCGACGTCACTCTTTAATTATATCATCGACAAGAACAATAAAAAAAGAAAAAACACGTTCAAATAAGTGAATGACACCAAATTTAGTTTCTCTTCAAATGTTGGTGCTTATATCAAGGCGCTTCATTTTCAAATATATAGCAATACAAAGGAACTTTATAGATATCTATTTTTATCACTTTATCATCATAGCTGAATAATTCGTTTTAATACGATCTAATCAGAATACTATTTATTGCGAAACTACATACGTATGTAAATTCATTAGTTCGTTGTTTTTCTTCTGAGACAAGGTTCGTCTGAAGCGCATAAACAACATCAAGTACAGGATATTGCTTTGTGTAGAAGAGAAGAAAAAATAAAAGATTTGATTTTTTTTTCGTGTATGCAAATATTTCGAAAAGGAAAATAAATATAGTTTGACTCATTTAATTTTTATTAGATATCGATATTTCTAACATCTTTCAAGTTTATGCAATTTTCAGTCGTTAAAATCATACTGCTGTAAAGTTTTGCTCTTTTAGTATTTACCAAGCCTTAATTACATGGAGAAGTAATAATTTGCGCTATCTTCATTTTATGAAATGCATTACAAATAGACTTTGAACAACATACCAAGAGGTTCAGTTCAGCTGTTTCATCTCCTCAAGAGTGTATCTGAAGCATAGAATGCATTCATCACTAGAATCAAAACAGACATATTTATTACTCCATAGAATTTCCAAGAAGACATGAGAAGTTGAAGACCGATCAGTTTTTGACAAGATAGATGATTATAAATAAACAGAACGCAAGATAACATTTTCTTAGACTCGATAGTCGAGTCCGTTATGCCGAGGCTTTAAAGCACTGAATAATCACTCGAATTATTGATAAAATTTAGATGCACAATATTTTTTTTCTTCAATATCGTATTCTGTCGAGTGCTTGATGAATTCGACTTTTCATTGTTTTATAGATATGATATGCTTTCTGCCTCATCCATGACGTAAACTGATTGAATGCATTAATTAAGTGTTTTATTGTTACTTCTAAAATTATTTGAGTATTTTGAATTGTATTCGTCGCATATTGGCATAATTTTGTGTAATTTTGCATTTGTGCTACATAATTTGGATCCCGATAAGACGGTCGCTTCTCTGTAACTAATTCGATGGTTCTATCTGTTTTTTCATTCAGCCACTCCCTTGTATCGTCAATATGTCTAGAAAAAGCTCGTTCCATCTCGTACATATCTGACGCATTTTTCAATCGAGAAGCCCCACTTTGAACAGTATTTTGTATATTATGTTCTTTGTACTGTGTGATATTGTTGATTTGTTTGTATGAATACATGATTTGCATCAATATTAATCTAGAATCTGTATGTGTGAGAATTTTTTTCATTAAAAAAAAAACATTTTGTCGATTCAAAATTAAATAAAAAAAAAACATCGAGTCATGAAAAAAATAACCGAAAATAATAAAATAAAACAAATCAAGTTTAAGTCTCTTGATTATATTGATTATTAAAACGTTCAACTTCTAGTGATCTATATGTATGGTAAAAACTAAACTGGAACTTTGTCAAACTCTTAATTTGTTCAGACGAAAATAAAATGAAAATTCTAATTTTGATAGAATAAAATTTGAATTCCAATTCTCGCTTGGCAATATTATAATTCGACTAGAAATAGACTAGACGGTTTTGAGTTTTCATGATTACAAATTAGTTATTCTACTAAGCTTTCAATTATTTTCTACATTAGCCTATAGTATATACATATATCTATGTTACTCAACAGAGCATATCATACTAATAAATATCCAGAACGAGTTCAGATACACGATGCGTTAGTGGGAACCTTATCATGAATAAAAATTTTAGTTATAATCGTTTATATGAGAAATTTCAGAAATTTTTTCATACAAATCTCTCTAACTGAAAATTCTATTTCTGAAAAGTTGTAGATCAAAATTCAAAAATTTGATTTTACTAAAAAAAAAAAAAGTTTGAGTTTCACAAAAATAAAATTTATGTTGAATACGAAATCTTAACAAAAACGAATTTAGTACATAAATTTTGTTTTTGAGTCTTTAATTAGTTCAATATGATCGATTGCTTGACATGTAAATCACTAGAAATCGAGTTTAACAAATTATAAACGTTCACTTCTCATTGTTATTCTGTTGATCTCGACAAAGATTGGATCCCATTTATCTTTTATCAATCTTTCAATACGATTTTGGAATTCGCTTACAATCAACGATGGATCTTCATCAGCACAAATCGCATTCCAAATATCTTCAAGAAATATATGATATTGATCGAGTATTTTTCCAATAGTTTTGTGCATTTCATTAATAAGAGCTGTTGATAGACGTAACAGTTCAATATACGCTTCTTCTTGTTCTGCATAATTTGGATCATTAATCGCAGAAGCTGGTACTTTTGAACTCAACACAAATTCACGAAAATCATCAATATTTTTCAATAACATTGCACGTAATTCATTGATATTTCGTTCGAAATACTGTTCAGATTTATTAATTTGAGACATATCGTCCTCCTGTTCTTTATGAACATTGTTTAGTTTCAATACTAATGTTGGTAGACGACGTTGAATACGATTGACAAGCGTTAAAGTTTGCTAAATATATGTATATTTTCTAGCAGAGTCTATGACTTTTATGATTTATAATAGATGCAGTATTACTCAAATGAACCTTGTATTTTTTTAGTTTACTATACATTGCTTATAGAATGAGACAACAGCAAGATGAAAAAAATAAAAATTCGTCTATCTTTGTACTGTAATCTACAGAACAAAATTTGGCTTTCTAATCATAGCAGAGACTTTTTACTCTACAAATATCAATAAAAATCGTAAGTGTGTGAACGAGTATAGTATTTAGTTAATAAATGCTCTTATTATTTTGTGAATCTCTCAATAAAACGAAGGTTTTAGTTTTAAATAAAGATAAGACAAATATTGCATCGATCGAAAAAAAATATATTGCGTATCTGTTGTTCGAAGAAGTGTTAACTATGTATTATGTAATTCAATAAAACAAGCAAAAGTTTTTCTTTAGATTATTCTTGATTAACGAAAAACTTTTAATTTTTATAGAATCAGTAGGACAAATCTTCAATCGTTTCGATGTTATTTAAAAGATATATTTGTTTGATATTTGAATCCAATTGTAAAGTTCTTTTTGTTTTTCTCATTATTCTTTAGATTTGCGTTCAGTTTTGAGAAAAGATATATCGGAAGTCAACTCAATGTTTCGATATTGAGAAATATGGGTTGAAATTTCAACCAATACATTTGATAGTGTCGTGTAATATACATGAATAAACTCAGAATACAAATTTTTACTAATTAAAATTATTCAATTTAAAATATTGAAATACTCACTGTTTGACTATAATATTCACTTGTCCTAGAAGGATTTTGAGTTATAATAAGTTGTTGATCAGATGAGTTTTTGACGGTTGAAGATTTTCCTGATGAGTGCTCGTTCGATCGTTGAAAAAACTGCGTCACTTGTTGTATTGTTGATTTACGGTTCTTGTCCTATATTATTTAATTGAGAATTGACATGAAAAACAAAGAAATAAAATTTTCTTTTATAAGTAAAATATACCGATTTTTGAGACATATTGATTAATTGGTTTTCTGTTTCAAGACTCTATATCTAGAATATAAAAAGAAAAGTAAATATGAAAGTAAAAGTATTATTATCGTATGATTTATTTTTTAGTTGAACAATATTGAGAAAATAGGAGAAAAAACACTTGTAATTAGTGACTTAATATTGAATTGACCAGCAGATATCCATTTGAGAATTGCTTTCAGAGCATCGTACAGTTTGTTAAATAGCTGAGAGAATAGTTGTTTCAGGCTTGAAATGCCAGTATTTGCATGTTGGAGAAGTGCTTTGTATTTATTTGATTTTGCTAAATAATTCATTTCCCCAGGTGATGGCCGTTTATGCAATACACCATCACGCAAATCATCAAACTGTTCGTTAACACTCGCCTTTAAGTCTTCCACTTGATTCACAAAATGCCGTTCATATCCAGCAGTTCTACCCAAATGGGCATTATGTTTAGCAAATGATTCGATATTTTTCACGCCTTTTGTGGCATTTTGAAGTATCATATTTAGATTCTTATTGATGAAATACGGTGAATCAGACATTCTTTAAGATGGTGAGCAGATTAGTTGAAATCTATACGGAAGAAATTAATAGTAATATTCTTATGAACAACAAGTATTCGAAAGTTTCATTTATCCTAAACATTTTGTCAGTAGGGAAAAACCTCAGTTTTGTATTATAAAATCTTCGCATATTGAACTTTATTATGAATGTGTGAGTCATAAAAGCAAAATCTAACTGCATTCTGGAATTGCTTAAAGAAAATCAAATTTCAATATAGACCTCTTAGGTGATTATGTTTCTCACTGATGCAATAATGAAAACTTTCTAAACATTGCCAAATTCATTGGAACACACAGGAACAAAGAGACTCTTCATGTCTTTCGATAGAGAGTAGCTGTTACAGTACTGGAGTGCATCGTTGACTTGTTATTAATGTGTGGATTATTTTCTAACCAGGAAAATATGAGAAAACTTCGAAATATGATAACAGCTTCCGGTAAAGAAAACACCTTATGCTGGCAATAAGTTGACTATGGTCTATTAAACTATAAAATAGTCATGCTTCATTTTGTTCAATTATAGAACTTTACACTAAATATTTCAGCATCTGAAACTAAGTATACAGTCTCTTTCTGTATACTTTACTAATAAGATAAATGATTAAATACTCAATCTTCTTCAGTCGTGAAAATGGATAAACTACTTTAAAAGTACAAGAGTAAAACGAAAAGTTAGATACAACTGCATGCTCGTTCTGATTCGCATTTACAGCGGAATGAAAAAATTGAATACAATCATTATATGTCATATATTAGCCTTAAGAAAGATTTTCGGTCAAATTTTCACCCTTGCTCTCCTTCAGAGATATTTGGAGAGATGAGCTTAATCAAAACCAACATTTAAATTACGTATATTTTATAAATCCAGAACTGTGTTTCGGCTGCTAAAATAGTTTTTGATGAAGCTAATTTTTCTACATGTTCTTGAAGAGACCAGAAGTGAAAATTTAATTGAAAAAATAAGTTGAACTGTACTTAAGTCAGCTCCACTTTTTGTGGTAGTTTCAAATATATGCTATTTTTGTTTGAAGACGAATGACGTATCTTCATAGGTTGAAGATGATATCATTATGAAAAACACATTGAATTACGCATTTGGTGAAAATATCTCGATTGTGCATCCATAAAAACTAACATTTTATGAGACAGAAACTGATTTTTAAAGCTCCCAGCTAATGCTTCAGATCTTTCTTATTATATTAGAACTTTTGAAAAAAAAATATAATATTTTTAATCGGAATATTTAGCACTACCGAACTATAATTACTTCTAATAGAATAATGATGACAATTTTTTCGATACTTGATTAGTACTACAGGTGTGAAAAGTAATCACGATTCAATATTGGTTCTTAGACTAATCAAATTAGGTTCAAATTCTTCGAGATGTTTGGTCCATAAGATGATACACTTCCGTTTCATTTTTTTAAATACTAATTCTTGAAATCAATATTAAGCTAACTGAAACTAAGGTGCTTTATCAGATAGTGTAAACGAATTTCATGTTTCAACTATTTTCAGTACTTATTGAATAATTCATTTAGGATAGTCAAGACAACTACATCTAACCGAAGTATTTGATATAACAAAAAATATGTACGAAAAGAAATAGTTCCTTAATTGCAATTTATAAAAACACATCAACTTTCGATATTTAAGTCGACGAATCATATCGACTTCTTATTACTAATACAAACTAAATCCAGCACAAAAACAAATTTACACAAGAAAAACATAGTCTTTCACACAGCTGATGTTTGAAAAATTTTCCGAAAGTAACAAAGTTTCTATATTATCATAGGGGATATACTTGCATCTAAGGTGTTCTCATCATTATTTTCTAATTTAATTATTGTCTTAAGTCGTCTAAATTCATCTTGAGTCCTCTGTAAAAGTGATTCGGAACTTGATATATGTATTGAGATTTAAGAAGAGAAAACTTTTTCATACTTTCTTTTGATGATTTATTTCTCACGTAGAACATTACTAAAACCGATTAAAAAAAACTTTCTACGTATTAAAGAAATTTTCGATAGGTATAGTTTTACGAATAAAAAAAGTGGAACATTTAGATTCAAAACATAAATACTAGGAAATTCACTAGTCGATGATAACTCAACATACTCGATTTGAAGAGTATATTGAAATTTTAAAATATATCAATCAAATTATTATAAAAAATGAAATAAAATCTAGCTAACCTTTTTCTATTCCTGCTCTTAAATAAATTTGATATCGAATACTTAAAAACTTGATAATCTATTATATTTTGAATATCTTTTTGATTAGGAAATTGCTATCATTTTTTTAAAAATATTGCATTTCATTTCTAACGTTCCCATAACAATAATATCTTTGTCAAATATAAAACAACTGAAATTAATAATATAGCTGTAATATTTCTTCCTTTTATTCCTTCTTCTTCTTCGAATTGATATCAATAATCATATTAGTAGTATGATGGAACAAGAGGATATACAGTGAATTTCACTAGCATAACCAAATTGCTGTTCCATGGTCGGAAGCGGTAAATATCAACAAGAAGAATAAAGAAAATAGATTTACAACTATAAACATTTCTAGTTGTTCTATGTTTGATGACAACAATCATGTTGTTAGCAGGTGACGATTGAAATGACATATTAGGTGAATTCAGGATAATTTCAATGCTTGGCAGCAAATAATATCAAATCAATGATGAAGAAAATTAGAGCGTCTTAGAGCTATTTAAACAAATAACTTACCGTGAATTAAATTGTTATTATTGATCGTGGTGTTTTACTCTGAAAAAAAGCATCGTTATTTATATTTGTCAAACAACAAGTGAAACAGGGTTTTTACCAAATAAATGATTGAAAAGAGTCATTTTTGTAGCCGCAAGTTTGGTTAATCGAATTGAAGAAAACATGATTCATTTCCTTTCTTAATAGTTACTTGCAAAATGCAAACATACTGGAATATTCCTCTCTAATGTTATTCATTCATGACTTTTTTATCTATTAAATAAATTTCATATATTTTCTCGCCTCGTCTTGAATCATGTTTATCGTAAAAAACATAATTTTGACATGCAATTCGTTATTTACATACTCATAGCGATCAACATTAGGAAATCAAACGGAAGAGTAACCATCCTATACCTTAAGGCAGTTGGTTAATGGACACAAATTTACCTGAAAAAAAAATGAAATACATATGATTTATTTCTCTTTTTTTTTTGAATTAATGTCTAAATACGTCATGATGACTTGTCCACTTATCAGACAAACATTTCATAACGACTGTGTAAACGAACAATGATATGATGGTTTCAATGATACCGCACATTTATTTTTA